TGGTCTCCTAAAGCTTCTCTTGAGGAAAAGCCATCATATCCATGACAGTGGGTGATACTTAGAGGTAAATTTGCTTCTGCACATAAGAACTCACATAAACATTCTCTCTTGGATTGACCTTCAGTATGAGGAGCTGCAGATCACAGCCGGCAGACATGGGGACGACCTGCGCAACACCAAGCAGGAGATTGCTGAGATCAACCGCATGATCCAGAGACTGAGATCTGAGATTGACCACGTTAAGAAGCAGGTGGGGTGTACAGAGAAGTCTTTGGGTTGCTGGCCATATGCTTCCTGTCCTCTAACTCTTGCTCCCCAGAAACCAAGGTCCTGGGGCTCAGCCTCTCCAGAGATGCATATTCCAAGACTGTTTCTGTTGCTCTCTCTGCCCAGTGTGCCAACCTGCAAGCTGCCATTGCTGAGGCTGAACAGCGTGGGGAGATGGCCCTGAAGGATGCCAGGGGCAAGCTGGAAGGGCTGGAGGACGCCCTGCAGAAGGCCAAACAGGACATGGCCAGGCTCCTGAAGGAGTACCAGGAGCTCATGAATGTCAAGCTGGCCCTGGATGTGGAGATCGCCACCTACAGGAAGCTGCTGGAGGGAGAGGAGTGCAGGTGGGTAACTGCATACCCCAATCCCTCGGGACACCTCCATGGTGTCAGCAGTGAGCACAGGATGAGGAAGCACAAGGTGTGGCCACAGTGGTCCCTTTGAGAAACTGCTTGCTGTGCTGGAGAGATGGCTCAGTGCTTATAAGCACTGTCTGCTCTTCCAGAGTTACTGAGTTCAATTCCCAGCAACCACATCATGGCTCACAACCATGTCTACTGGGATCTAATGCCCTTTTCTTATGTGTCTGAAAACAGTCACAGAGTGCTCAAGTACACAGAATAAATAAAGAGTATTTTAAAAGACTCTTTCCAGAAGATTCTCTCTGAACCTTCAGTAGACTGAGGGTTCTCGCATTGGGACTGAGGTGATGTCTGCCTAGTTCTCACCTGCTGCTTTCCTCTCCTAGGTTGAATGGGGAAGGTGTTGGACCAGTCAACATCTGTAAGTACTCTGCTTGCCAGCCTCCCCTTCTGACCTTGTGACTGGGTCAGGTGTTCACAGTGTGCTCACCATGTGTGTGGTTTTCTCTTTTCTTCCTTCACAGCTGTGGTGCAGTCCACCGTGTCCAGCGGCTATGGCAGCGCAGGTGGTGCCAGCAGCAGCTTAGGCCTGGGAGGAGGCAGCAGCTACTCCTATGGCAGTAGCCATGGCCTTGGAGGTGGCTTCAGTGCTGGCAGTGGCAGAGGCATCAGTGGTGGCCTCAGCTCTTCTGGTGGCAGCTCTTCCACCATCAGATACACCACTACCTCCTCCAGCAGGAAGAGCTACAGACAGTGAATTCCCTGTCACCAAGTGCTTGTGCCTGGTCCCAGATATCATGGCTTCAAAACCCTGTGCTCAGAGTCCGGTGCTCAGGGGCTTTTCTCTCTGGACCCCTACCTCTGCTCTCCTCCTGGGGCTGAGATGGATGGTTCCTTTTGCTCTTATTTCTGTCCCCATGTGTCCGCTCTGCTCATCTGTTGATAGTCATCCTCTGAGCTCACATCACAATTCACTCAACATTTGGTGCTTCATGTTGTATTCGGTTTCCAGGCTCTTCCTCCCTACCTCTATCTCTGAGGCTGCCTGTGAAAGGATGTGCCTCTGTCACCTTCATTCTGGAAATCATTGTCTGGGTCCTACTCAAGAAATGAGCAGCCCCCTCTTAGTTTCCAATGGCCTGAGAAACCCCATCTTTCAACATCATAAACCTCCCTGTCAGTAACTGTGACCACCCAGTCACTGGTCCTGTGATGTGGAGCCTGTGCTCATGTGATGTCTTTGCTTTTCTTGATGCTCTTTGCTTCCTTGTAATTGCTGAATAAAGCAGGTTTATAAATAATCAAGTTTTCCATGTGCATTTTTTGTGGCAGTGTTTTTTTTATACAGGAAGTCTGTGGTCTTGCTAGACAAGGTATCCTTACTGTTCCCTCTCTCAGCTCTGTATGTCTTCATTTGTTAGTATACTGTAGTTTACACTTCAATTCACATTTTTAATTTATTTCAATACCTTTTTAAATAAAATAGAATTCCATCACTTTATCCTTTTATTTCTCTCCTACCAGCCCCACCCAGGTGTGCTCACTCTAAACCCTCACCTGTTCTTTCATTGTCAAATTGATAGTCCTTTGGGGAGCCTCTATTTCCTTAACTTTCTTATAAGTAACTTTTAAAGTATCAAATTCCCTTGTGTTTAATTTCTTTTTTTCATTTAAGAGATAGTAAAAAATTGTCAGCTCAGTGTTCCTTTCTGAATGAATTGCCTTCCTGTCAGTGAGAACATTATCTCCAGGTTTGAGAGTTCCCTCCATGCTAACAGTCCTTATTAGGAACTAGTGTGAGGCCCTTCTGATGTGGTCGCCAGCAGATCACAGTTCTCAGGCAGAGCATTCAGATGGAGAAATATATTCTTGGACAGTCATAGCCAAAGCCTTTTGAGAGGAGAATAAGGTTTTTGTTTTAGAATTACAGTTGCCTTCACAACGAAGAAGCTTGCTTGACAAGCACCCACAGTAGCAGTGAACATTTCCTCCCTCTGACCTGAAATTGCATTTCTGGAAAGGTGCCCTGAAGGGACAGCAGAAACACAACAAGCTGTTCTGGGACAGTCTTTGATCCCACCTATAGCATGTACAAGTGGGAAATACTGGAGACATTCAAGCTGGTCAAATTAAGGAACTCAAGACTCAAAACCTGAAATTCTCACTTTGCAAATTGTAAAAGCTTCAGGAGATTGTTGTCTTCCTTTTAATACCTTTAGTCCCAGATTGTGGATTTTCAGAGAATTTTGGTCTGCATGTAGCTGACCAGGTGTGTTAGTTTCACTCCTGGTTTAACTTCATGAGTGAGCAGGGCCATCTCAGCTCGAGTGTGAGGTCAATCAGTTGATTCCCTCCTGGGACTTTCTCAGCTCCATTGTTACTTCAAATAGCACTCAACATCCTGAACCCCGATTATGCATATCAGTAGATATTTTCCTTGGTTTTCTTGCTGTTTTTGGATTTTTCTGCATCATTTTCTTTTGGTTACAAAATTCACTGCTCTTCAGATAACGTTGGATGCTTGTCCCTTGGATTCTCTTCACTCTCTGCTCAGATCTCCTCAACAGGAAGAAAATAATGACTTATTTCTGAAATGTAAGCCTTCTCATGACACATGTGCATATATGGGAGACAATAGATAGGACAATCACTGCCAGAGAAAATAGAATATAGAAAACACCACAAGAATTTAATTTATAAAGTGATTTAAATAAAATTTAAATCATGTAATATGTGTACATTACAAATGTAATAAATGAATTCCACAAAAAGTGCTGTAGGTGTGGTTTGGTTGCATAAATATTAGGTGCACAAGATGGACAAGTATGGTGGCTCATATGGTATTCTAGCCTTTTGGAAGTGGAGACAGGGCTACCTGGGGCAGTGTTCCAAGAGAAACTAGTCCAACTGGTGAGCTCTCTTCGTGTCTACAATGGCTCTGTTATATCCAGCAAACATATTTCCAATGATAATATTCACAGATTTTGGCTACTGAATCATCCTCCTCTGTTCTGCAGTGATGCCTGAGCCTTGAAGGTGTGGAAGAACTCTTGATATATACATTTGAGAGACCCTTACTCTCTACCAGATGACCACCTGTGGTGCCTGTGTTAATCATTATCTACCACAGAATAAGCTTCTCTGGTTAGGCATGAGACATGCAGTAATATTAAACATAAGAGCTTAATGAATGGTTTATTACTGTGTTCATAGCAGAATAAGAGTAGTAGTTTCTCCTCTAGGGCCTAAGACTGAGGCAGTCACCTGTTAGGAGCTGTTTAAGTATCAGGAATGGCATCTATCTTTGGACTGGGTCTTAGATGCAATCAGAGGTGGAAATGCCCAAGTAACAAATAAAGTCAGACCTGTCAGATTTTCGCCTGACTTCTCAACAAAGACTCTAAAATCCAAAGGGCCTAGGAATATGTTCTGTAGACTCGAAGAAAGCACAGATGTCATACACAGCAAAACTTTCAAATAGCACAATGGTGGAGAAATCAACATATTCTACGACAAAATCTAATTTATACAATATGTTTCCACTAATCCAGCCCTACATAGGATACTAGAAGAAAAAGTCCAACACAAGGAGGGGAACTACATCCAAGAAAACACAGGAAATCAAACATTTCACAACAGCAAAACAAAAGGAAGAGAATCTCACTAATACCACCACCAGCAGCAGCAACAGCAGCAGCAGCAGCAGCAGCAGCACCATCACCACCAGTAACACCATGAACACAACAAGAATTAATGATCATTGGTTATTAATACATCTCAACATCAATCGACTGGATTCTCCAATAAAACGACACAGGATAACAGAGTAGATGCATAAACTGGATCCCTCATTATGCTGGAAACATGAAACACACCTCAGCAAAAAAATCTGGAAAATGATTTCCAAAACAAATGGATACAAGAAGTAATTTGGAGTATGAAGTGGAAAATTACAGGTCAGTTGTGTTGGATGGTATTTTGCTTGGGCAAACACATGAAGGAATGTTTTCCTGAAGAGGACACAAGTTATAAGAGATTTTGCTAAGGCAGACACATGAAGGAACTTTTCACTTAAGGAGACACAAGTGAAATGATGTCCTACTGAAACAAGCACATGGAATGACACATGATGGAGGACTCTTTGCTGTTGACACACACATGTATTTGTCCACCTTACATTATGTAGTTGGGTTCCATTTGTCAGGACTCCATACAGAGAAATGTACCAAAAAACCTTCTGGTGGCGTGCTACATTTTTGTTGCTGCTTCCATGGACTCGGACTGATTGGCAGAGTGATGTCAGCTGAGACAGACTCATGTGCTGAAGCAAGACCTACTGAAGACACATGATGTTTAGAGGGAGTGTAAATACGACTTGACAGACAGTGACAGAGGCTGGGCTAGGCTTACTTATGGAGCAAGTTGTACAATGCTTGTTGGTCTTGCTTCTAAGCTGATCTTCTTCACTGAGAGAGGCATGGCTGAGAACTTCTCCTGGTGTTCCTGTTTGTACTTCCTGTTAACATGTGCCAAGGCTGAGGCCTGGCTGGCTCTGCTAGGTAGTGGCACTGCTGCTGAGTCTGTTGCTATCCTGACTGTATTGAAGTAGACTGCTGCTGTATCTGAGAAGTATTTACAAGTAGACCAAGCTGCTGCTGCTGCTGACCTGAGAACCAGACTGTTGATTTTCTGACAACACAGATGTGAGTTGTTCATCAAAAGCATTTCTAAACAGATCCACTTCCCCTGCATCCTTTCTTTTCCACTACCTTTGGTGGAAAGTGGACTAAGAGGGAAGTTAAAGCCTTTGAAAACCATAATAAAAAATAGGCATTGAAAAAAACAAATGTTACAGGATTAGCCATTCTAATATCTAGTAAAATAGACTTTCAACCAAAAGTAATCATAAGAAATGAGGAAAGACACTTTATATTCATCTAAGGAAAAATCCACCAATATGACTTGTCAATTCCAGACATAAATGCCCAAAATACAAGGGCAAACACATCTATAAAAAGAAACATGGCTAAAGCTTAAACCACATAGTAAACCCCAAACATTGACAGTTGGAGAGTTCAACACCCTATCCTATCCAATCCATTTGTTATCAAAACAGAATCTAAACAGAGGAATAATGAAACTAACAGACATTATAAATCAAATGGACCTAAAAATATCTACAAAACATTTCATCTACACACAAAACAATATATCTTCTTCTCAGCACCTCATGGAACATTCTCCAAAACTGACCATATTATTGGGCAGAAAGCAAGCTTAAATGAATACAAGAAAATTGAAATAACCCCTTGCATTTAATCAGAACACCATGGATTAAAGCTGGATTTCAACAACAGAAATAACAGAAAGCCTACAAACATGGAAACTGAACAACTCTACCCAGTGACCACTGGGTCAAAGAAGAAATAAAGGAAGCAATTAAAGACTTTCTAGAATTCAGTGAAAATGGAGGCACAACATACCAAAACTTATGGGACACAATGAAAGCAGTGTTGAGGCAATTTTACAGCAGTACATGCCTTCATAAGGAAATCAGAGAGATCTCAGACCAGCAACTTAACAGCACACATGACAGCTCTAGAACAAAAAGAAACAAAAACACTCA